AGAGAGAGAGAGGATAGGCGAAATGGAGAGGCTATTTGCAGTTGGTGGCGGGACCAGAGTTGCCATTAAAAAGCTGCAATTACCAAATTATCCTGATTAGCGATTGGCTTGTTAACAGCAAAAACCACTGATACAAGTAATGAACAAAAGTGCCATAGTTTCTACAGTTACTACTACTAATAGACTACTATCTTTAACATTTTAAAAACCTTCAGTTTGTCGCAAACAAAGAGCAGTTGCTGAATTATTCTGACTGGTTTAAAGTTGCGATGAAATTTTTTATTAATTATTGTGTATATGTTTATTTCATACAAGTTCATCTGAGTTTAATTATTGGAAAGCAAAAATAATGTAGGGCGGGCCTAGGCTCAATGCATCGGTTGTTGATTGGATTTTGAGATGTGGGCGTTGCATTCAAAAATAGAGGTAGTTGAATGAAAGCTTGCTGGGGTGGATTTTGTTCACAATTAACTTTTTTATGGACTGCGATGATGCATTTTCAGTTATTACCATTTTTAATCTAGCAGTTTTTGTATTTTCATTTTTTAAAGATGTAATGTACACTAGCAGTCAAAAGTTTGGGATCTGTAAGACTTTTTAATGTTTTTCAATATCTTTTCACCTCACCGTGGCTGAATTTGATCAAAAATACAGTAAAAATTGTGAAATATTATTTGAATTTAAAATACATTTTCTATTTGAATATATTTTAAAATGTCATTTATTCCTGTGACGAAAAGCTGAATTTTCAGCATCATTTCTCCAGTCTTCAGTGTCACATGATCCTTCAGAAATCATTCTAATATGCTGATTTGCTGCTCAAGAAACATTCATTATTATTATCAATGTTGCACTGCTTTCAAACGTTTGACCTGTACTGTATATTTATAACACTATACTTGGTGTTTTATTATCTTAGCATTAAATTACAGAAAACTTGTGTTTCTCTTATACAACAGCTGAGGAAGTGATATTTTTCTCTCTTCTGACCAACATAATCAATCTCTTGATATGTTTTTACTCTTTTTGGAAAGTCATAAAAATGGACATGGAAAATCATGGATTTTAATTTGCTATTAGGGCAAAGTGATATTTGCAATAGTTTCCGATCAGTACTATTGAAGTTTACACAACTATCACTAAATACTAAAAACTAAAGTCTTTTGGCCAATTACCATTGTGCATTATATAGAAATATAGAAATTATATACTAAAAATCACAGGTATTGATGCATTCATTGCATGTTATTGTACTAATTTGGTACAACTGGTGCATAATCCCACCATCAGTGACCCTGAAGTACGACCTAAAATCTGCTGTAAATATCAAAGCAATGCGAAAAACAACTGTCAAGAAAGAAACCTGGTTGAATTTTAAACATAAATTAAAAGACTGATTTGAGAAAGAAATTAAAAAGGGAAGTGTCTGTAGTGAGGTAGAGCACAAGTTTCTTGGCTTTTCCTCTGACCTGCCGTGGTGCTGATAACAGCCTCGCTCCACTGTTCTGCGCTGGACACAGAGAACGAGCGCTGGTGCATCCCCTCTTTACTAGTTCCCAAAGCCACGCCAGCCGCCGAGCCACCAGACTGCAGGGAACTGCTGCTGTTAGAGTGAGGAGTGCCTGCCAGATGAGGAGAGAGAGAGATTCAGTTAGAGAGATGTTCAAATCACATTTCACAGACCTTTGTGTGTATGTTAAATGCACCTTAGCACCTTAAATATACATATTAGCACCAAAAGTATATATAGTACACTCAGAAAAAAGGTACAAAAACTGTCACTGGGGCAGTACCCTTTGAAAAGGTACTAATATGTAACTTTTATGGTACCAATATGCACCCTTCAGGGGTAAAGAAGGTACAAAAGTGCCTTATTAAAATACTTTTTGAAAAGGTACTATGTCCTAGTGACAGCTTTTGTACCTTTTTTTTGGGAGTGTAGTAGTACCTAAAGTGTATAAAGTAGTACCTAAATGGTACACCTTTTGAAAGAGTACAGCCCCAGTGACCGCTTTAGGACTTTTTTTTTCCTGAGCGTGCACGGCATGTTGGAGATATGGCCCAACGGTTTCCACATATAATCCACCCATTCTCACTACTATCTTTATCAATAAATGTGGCAATAAGGCCAAAAACAACATTAGAGCTCAAACATTAGAGCACAGTGTTAGCAACACCAAGGTCATGGGTTCAATTCCCAGGGAATGCACGAACTGATAAATGTATACCTTGAACACAATGTAAGTCACTTTGAGATAAATGCATCTGCTAATTGTAAACGTATACTGTAGTACTAAATGACTACCATATTCATTCACCATGGTATTTACATGACACCACAATGAATTATTGTCGTTTATAATTAGCTAATCGATTTAAAGGGATATTTCACAGTTGAGGGTAGCCGATGACTTCCACAGTATTTTTTTCCATGCTATGGAAGTCAATGGGTACCATCAGTGTTTGGTCACCAAAATGTCTTCTTTTGTGTTCAAGAGAAAAAAGAAACTCGTACAGGTTTGGAACAAAATGAAGGCATGTAAATGACAGAATTTGAATTTTTGGGTGAACTATCCCTTTAACAAAAATCCACCAGTTTCTGCCAAAAACACCATAGTTACTTCAGTTTTTGTAAATGTAAATCATACTTCACACCACAAGTCAAAATTACCATAGTACGTGTAAAAAAATCTATAGCAAAACTATGTTTTAGTTGAAACCTGAAGCCAATCAGCAAACAATCTCAGAACCACCATATTCCTATAGACAAGATGAGAACCATAAAGTATCAACCATACGAGGGACTAAAGAAGTTACAGTAAAGATTCTGTGTATATATTCCGTATCTGATCGCCGCGCTCGTCTCTCCGTGCTACATGAGCAGTCAGCGCCTCACCCTGCTCCCTCTGCGTTTCTGCCACTAATTAGCCCTTAATTAACAAGATACACTCGGAACGGTAATTAGCTCTCCCCCACTCTCCGCCTGACACATCCATCTCTCCCGGCGGCAGCGGCTGTGCTGACGGCCCTCCCTGGCTTCAATCAGCGGGTTCACCGGCCCGACCGTGTCGCATGGGGTCCTTTCCTCCTGTTCCCGAAAAACAGGCGCCCTGCTTGATGGAGACGATGGATCATCTTTAAATCTCCACATTCCAGGCTCAAGGTCAGGTTCAGATGGATACCTATGTAGGCTAATGATTTTTTCTTGCCTGTTTCTTCTTTAAGATCTAACATTGTTTGCTCTCGGCTCATTTTCAAATTGGTTTCATATTGCCGTTAGCCTATTCTTACTGAAATGTTTAAAAAACAGCACATTACTAAAATTACATTTTGTAATGGGCTGTTTATATGCTTCGGCCGTTCCTGAGGCTTTAAAGAAACAGTAGATATATGATTTTGTCTATGCATCGGAACGATTTCTTAAGCGTTAACGTAAACCGCATCACGAAATCCATTTAAAAGTTTTACCCACATGCATGTCAACAAAAACTTGGAAAGCACACAGAAAACACTGATATTTTATTTACTAGGCTCTAATGCATTTCACAGTGGGACTAAACTTTTCTCTGTTGTTTTTCGCTTTATGCAATTTTGTCTTTTTCTCCGACACGTTTCCTTCGCTCCCCTCCCTCCGCAGCGCTGATTTGGAGCATGCTAATTTAGCAAGTACTCCACAGCGTGAGCTTGAAGCTCTATCGCTCTCTCCCTGCAAGAGACGCCCTTCCCCTACGGGGACCGCAAGATTAATATTCTCGCACCCAACAAGATAATTACTGATACTAATTAGACATGATTATGTGAATTTGATACACTTATTACTCTCGCTAATGGTTAGGACGCATTAGGCTAACAAGAGTCTGTTCTTCGCAGTTTACTTTGGCGCCTGGCAAAAAAGCGCCTTGACACAATCAGTAGTAATTCGTGAGTAATTGAAAGAATAGAGGGTTATTCTTATATTTGTCTGTTCGGAGACATGTAATCACACTAGTATTGTTGAAGAGAAGATTTTATTAATTCTGTCATAATATTGCCCCTGACTAGATCCCTCACCAATGAATAAAATAAGACGCCGCTATTACTCGGATCAATGCCGTACGATATTGCCATTTTGATATTTGACATAATTATTGTTTTGGAGCAAATTGCTTATGAACTATGTGTTCATAAACCCATTGGAGTATCAATGATGTTTCTTTAATGCTCATACAAACCTGCAGCAATGTACTTAAATGTGTTATAACCCACTAACTGATGATGAGGACACTGCAGACTAAAATATAGATATGTAATCTAAAAATAAAATTGAAATTGTTAATGTTTTAAATATGATAATAATTAATTAAGTGCATTTACTATATAGTATATTATAATTCTATTAAATGTATTATCAAATTGTATATACTTATACATAATATATAACATATAAAGAAATAAAATATATTCAGCAATGTGCTTAAACATGATATAACTGAAAAAAAAAAGACAAAATAAGCCCCTAACCATGCCTCATCCCCATCAAGAATTCAACAATCATCACTAATTGTCAAATTTGATGCTAATGATTGATGAATTAAACATGTCTCCATCAATTAGTCCCCAGAGAACAATTCTGCATAAAAAAGGGGATAATGCAATTACAATGTGGAGAAAATCAGAGGAGAGCGTCGGGCAAAGACTGTACACGAGATCTCCTGCCACTTCACACACACACACACACACACAGTCACACAGAGCTAGAGGTGACCATGAGCGGCAAATTCTCACAAACACAGTCAAAAGAGTCAAAAGTCTCTGGGACATTTTCAAAACTCTGTTTATTTGAGTGGTTCTGACTGAAGGGGAAGTAGAAGAGTGTGGAAAACCTGTTTGGAAATAATCATTAGCGCATTAGTGATATATATATATATAGTGATCAACAACATAGCAACAACCTGGCAACCACACACAACACTTAAGCATCACGGTAGTGACTATAGCACATACATACATTTAAATTAACACATTTATTGTACTATTAATCTTTAATATATTATAAATCATATTATAAATACATAAATGATATAATTAACATATTTTTGGAATTTATGAATTTACAATATATACTATAATATGCATTATATCTCATTATGTCGCATGCTTTATATCTCATCCATCCATCCATCCATCCATCCATCTAGCTATCTATCTATCTGTCTGTCTGTCTGTCTGTCTGTCTCT